CGCTCTTCAGTATCGCAGTCTGAACCGAAGTTTCCATTTTCATCGCGGCGGCGGCTATCTCTCGATAGCGCGAAAACTTTGCGTTGACCTCCTCGGTCGCCGCGCTCAGCGCACGGATGACGCGATCCACGCAAAATTGGAGATCGTACAGCTTGAGCAGGGTTGTGCGCACCATCGCCACGCGAGCCAGGTTGGGTAGCTCCATACGTACGATCGGCCCGTTGTTGATCACTCCGATTCGCATTGTCATCCCTCCAATCGACATCGACGAGGGGGGGTGAGTTACGTCGGAGAGAGCGCGTTCCATGCACGACAATACGTCGCGTTTGCGCTCGATCAGTCTTTTCCACATGTCGAGCGTCAGGGAGATTTCCCTTCCTTGTTTGTCCCCCAGGGCGATATCCACGTACGAAGGCGTGGTATGAATACTGTACCACGGTGACTTGATCGTGATACTTATGGCTATGTACTTGTAGCCAGTCGACGTCAGCAAATAACGCGTCGTCAGGATGCGCACAGGGGGCAATTCAACGGGAAAGTTGGAACGAAACTCCTGATGATGACGACGACGATCGTCCTCGACGGGCGCATCGGTTGGAGGATGAGAGCTGCGACGCGATTCCTGGCGACGAGGAAGATAATGGCGATCGTCCATCGAACTGATCCTCCGCCTTTTATTGCCGTTGTCGTTCGCCTCAGAATCCGCCATCTCCGTAGGAGAAATACTCCTCGGCGCCGGTCGATCGGCCAATGTCGAGAACATTTCGCGCCGCGGTAACCGTTCCTTTCTGATTGTTTTTCCGACGCGTCGTATTCGGCCGACGACGCGACACTGATACCTTGGAAGGGACACGTCGGTATAAGTAGGAAAGGACTTATGTCGCGCGTGGCGCGGTGTGGGAAATTTGCGCGGTAGTCTACTTCCTTCGGCGGATGCGGAAATCGGAGAGCCGAACTCCAGTGTCGTCATCGTTCCAATAATCGCTCGCCGACGTTAGCGAGTTATCGTTGAGGCGTACGATTCGATCGAGGAGATCGCGCAACTGCTGCAGCAGGTCGGCCTTAGGGCAGACGATATTCAGTATCCGCAGATCGAATTTACCGGCCGACGAGACGGTCCTCGTAAATTCGTTGAATTTGTAGAACTGCGCCCGAGTGGTAAAGTACAGATTACCGTCGATGTAGCGGAATATTGACGTCACGCCTTTTGGTATTCCGGAAAACGTTGCCTCGAGGGGCGTAAATTTGGCGACTCTCTTGTCCTTGTCGCATTCGTCTATCTCGCCCACCGCGTTACCGTTGAACACCACGTAGGAACGTCCTCTGTGGGTGTTCACCGCTCCGTTGATCAGCGCGTTTTCGGGAAATCCGAGTTCTTGCAGGGTTTTCGGCCAACCTGGCCGCAGACTAAATTCCGGATATTGAACCAAGTATACCAAATTATCTACGAACACCATGAGATCGCCGGACGGGGATTGATAGGCAGCGGTCACGCGCGTGTAATTGTCGTGAAGAAAGCTCATGTGATTCGAGAGGGCTAAAGGTCCGTTGTACGTCCTACCGTCCAGATTGATCGACCAAACGTAACGTTTGTACGAGATGTACATTCGATTTTCCAAAATCAATATCCCGTTCACGCGATCGAGGCTGCACAGGTCCGGCGACGGCGGCGGCGGCGACGGCGGCGGCGCTGGCGTCCGACGCGGCTTATCGTTCTGAATTTTTTTACCGTACAAACGTTGAATGTCGGCGATGTCGTTTTCGTCGAGCTTCACCGGATACTGCTGGTCCGGCTGTATCGCGAACATCACCGATGTTTTGCGCCTGTTGTGCACCAATCCGAGAGAGTGGCCGATCTCGTGCGTCAGCGTGTAATGCAGGGAAAACTTATCCGCGGGATGTTTGTTGACGTAAATGTACCACGGCTCGTCCCCGTCGACGTGCACCTCGGAAACGAATCCCGCTTGGTCCGTCGGGAGAGACGCGTGGGCGAGCACGTTGCCGGGGCCGTCGAATTTGACCAAGCACAATGCTCCGTTTACCTCGGCGTTCGTGTTATAGTGTAGTAGGCGTCGCCAAGATATTATAATGTCGGCATTCGACGTTTCGGAGCGTTCGAACGTCAATGCAGAATGCTGCGACCACAGGTCGAACGCGGCCTGCGCCGTGCTCAGCTCGGTTTCGTTGGCTAAGTGAAAATGCCACGTCAGGTGCGTCTTCGGCCATTTGGACAGGCTCGCTTTCGTTCCGTGCTTCAGGATGTCTCGAAAACCGCATCGCGGTTTACTCATGAATTGCAGCGTTTCGTTGTTGGGCGTTCCGTCGCCGGGTAAATCGTAGTAATTTTGAAAAACCTTGAAGGCTTTGCGAAAAATGTCGTTTCGTCTCTGAGCCGGAATCGCGTCCACATCTTTGGACAGTATTTCTGCAGGTATTCGAACGTGAACGCGTAATTGTCGTCCGTAATTGTGGAATTGATGCACGCCGCGGCGTTGAAACACGCGGTTAACGGGATTATGTACGCGAGCCGCATCGTCGAGAGCGAGAGAGAGACGGTGAAACCGCGATGACGGGGCGTCGCGGTTTGAGCGCGATCTCGACGAGCGCTCCGAATGCGAACGTTTACGCGATGACGCTCGTTAGCGACAACGCGGATAGGTGGCGGCGCGGCGGGGGTCTCGGGCGTGAAAAAAAATGCGTCGAAGATCCCGACGGATGAGTCGGCCCGATAAGGAAAAATGCGTTAATTATTTTTCTCGATGCGTATTTTTCATCGATTTATATTTTCCTCACGCAATAAAATGCTATTGATTCCGGCGGATAAGTCGGCTTGATAAAAACAATGCATTAATTATTTTCCTCGATGCGTATTTTCCATCGATTTATAATTTCCTTACGCAATAAAATGCTATTGTTAGTATATTTTTCTATCGCAACACTCATGGGTAACACCCCTTTTTTACCATATATAAGAACTCGAGACTAGACTTGGGCGTAGTCTATTCGCACTCTTCGAGTGAACTCAAGACGATGGAGAAAATTAACGATTTAAAATGCGTGTGTGATATATTACAAAATCAAACCACAGCCCTGACGAGGGAGATTGAGGATTATTGCAACATGGTGCGGCAGTTGCAGCAGCGCGTGAAGTGCTTAACGGAAAAGGTGCCTCCCTTTTTGCAACTCACCGTTCACGTGGACGAGGACGCCGCAATGCTCGAAAGAACGTGAGTTCAAACGCGAAATTATTTCTTTTAATATAATCAAACGATAAATTTTATATTTATGTATATTTATAATTATTTACAATTATTTATATTTATTATTCATATTTATATTTGTTTATATTTATTAATTGTATTTTTTGCGTAGGGCTATCATTACTTCCTGGGTGAAAAAATTTCGCAACCAGATCAGATTCTTCGTGACGAAACTTCGTGGGATGCATAGGGACATCGCGCGGCTGGGCTCGCACGAAGAGGCGAGTCGTCGCGAGAGAGACGACGAGGGGGGGGATTCTCCGAACCTGAACAGCCAAGAAACAGTGACCGTCAACGACGATGTCTCCGTCCCCATATGTTGGGTCTCCCAATGTGAAAAAAATGCGAAAAAAATGTGAAATACGATATATTGAAAAAATGTTATTAAATGACAAAAGTTTATGTATAATATGCTATATAATATTGTATTACAAATAAATATTAACAGTGAAAATAAATGTTTTAACGATATCGCGTTTTCTTCACCGCTCGCTTCCGCACTCGATCTGACGCTTGGCGTTATCGCTCGCTCGCTCGCTTGCGTTCCTAACCGCATCTCGCACTGGAGCCCCACCCCCGTATCGCGCTCTCGCTTTTGCTCGCCGTTTCTCTGTTTGTCGCGTTCCCGCGACTGGCCATTGTTACGCGCTGCCGCGACCGGCCATTTTCGCGCGCTCGGTAGCATATAATGTATACGTATATAAATACGGAGGTGGTATGCGAAAAGAGGAACTCTGTTTGTCATAGATTTTACGTCGATCTTTATTCGATAAAATATAGATAGAAGGATATATATGATACAATGGAGTAAAAATAAACGATTAAACACAATATATACAAAATAAAAAAAAACGAGCAACGCAATAAAATAAAACAATTAATACGTTAAAAAATGAAATTATATTAAACCAGTAATATATAACGTTTTTTTTTACACAAATTTATAAAGTATTTCAATTCGCGGAGTCGATGCTGGCGAAACATTCGCGTCGCTCGATCCACCAATCGCGCAACCACATCACGTTCTCCATGGCGCAGCACCGTTGGTGACGCTGGCAGCGAAACGCGCGATCGGTGCGAAGAGACTCCAACCGATCGACGTCCTCGTACTCCGCATCGACGCTCACGATCGTCGCGTCGATGTCGCCGAGAATCTCCTGCAGCCATTTCTTCTTTTCGAGACCTTTCACGTAGATTCGCGCGTTGGGCGTCTCCTCCGTCTCACGCAACTTGTCCAGGTTGTCGCGCACCGCGCGTCGAATGATCGTCTTCGCCTGGCGATAGTCCGTGTCACCGTCCTCCCAACAAAGGCCGTGATGGTTCGCTATCAACCAACTGGCTCTCGCTTTCTCAGAGCCGTCAGCAGATTCCAACTCATCGGTGCGTGAAACACGTGATGCGCGAGCACGCGTGTCTCGCTTCGCAACACGGCCACCTCCTTCGCAACGAATCTGTCGCCCACCGTGAATCCTTGCAGGTCGACGAAGATCGTCGTTGTCGTTGCCGCTGTCGCCATTGCGTCGGCGCGCGTTGGAAAAAAATTAAAGAACAGACGTTCGTTTCAAGTTGCTCGTTCCGAGCAGACTGAGAAACGATGGAAGAAACCCGCGAATTTATATATTCCTCGTTTCCGGGATAAAAATAACCTCATAACCATATTTGTCCGTTTCCCAGATGAGGTATTCTCGCAATCGCATTTTCAGTTTCCCGGATAAGGTATTTCCACAACTTCAATTTCCGTTAGATAATTTTGCGCACCACGTTGGTCAGCGGACTGTACTCGATGACTCGATCGTGAACGATGAGACAAAAAGCTGAGGTTTTCGGCGGAACGTTTTCCTTGTTTTCGAACTCGATGCGCACGTCCACGGTGGCGCTCTTCACCGATTCGTTTTGACGGAAACAATCGATCACCGCGAGCGGAGCTACCCGCGCGAATTCGCGCGGGGAAAAGAGCGCGTCGTCGCGATCGTTCCCGTAATACGCTCCTCGAAATTTTGCGTACATCTCGTACAGCACGGCGAACTTGTCGCTCTCGAAATCCACATTCACGTCGTCGTAGGGATAGAATTCCGAGTTGAGATACAATTTCACGTTGGCGAGCTCGCAATGATCGAACCTCGAGGCGTCGCCCGCGAATTCGTTTCGCCGTCCGGTCTGCAGCGCGAATATGACGTATCGCGGCTTCTCCAATTGCGGCGCGGCTTTCACGGCCCACGAATGCTTGGTCGTGCTCTGCAGCAGGGGAAATTCGTACAGATCCCAAGAGCGAAAGCCCGCGCTCAGAAATCGTCCGCTCTCCAACGTTCGCAACAGCGATAATTTAGTCACGTCGTTCAGCGCCACGTGAGGCATACGCCATTTCAATAACGTAATTTTAGGATCCTTGGCCGGATCTCTCGGCACGGTCTTCTTCGGATCTACGACGCAGTTGTGGTCGCTACGAGAGCGTATCAGGATAAGCTCGTGTCGCGCGTTTATCACCACGCTGTAGTCCTCGCAGAAACCCAAAAGAATATTCAAAGGTACGCAAAAGTTGAATTGATGGGACGCGTTGTTCAGATTTGATTCGCTCGTCGGATAACTCCATCCAGCGTTCTGCAGTTTTCTGGCTCGTTCGACGGTCAGCGACATGTAGTTCTTTATCGTGCTAGTTATGCCGACGTTTCTACACCGGTCGATCTCGACGCCGTCGAGCTCGTATCGAATTTCGTCGAACATAAACTCGACGCAGTTATTGACTAATTTCGCGTATTGTTCCTCATTCGTCGCGCCGTCGTCGTTGAGTCGTCCCTCGACGTACAAGAAACTGTCGCACGGCAGTGTATACAGATCCTGCTGCTGTATGGGTATTCGTATCTCGTCGTTGTGTCCGAACGTCGTGTTGACGTACGGGTTATACGTGTGAGTCTCGATTCCGACGATGCGCTTGTCGAAGATCGGCTCACCGCCGATACTCAGGATGTCGGCCATGATTTTTCCTCTCGAGGTAGAAACGGTTCGACGGTGACGCGTTTCTCACGGCGAGACCCAGCGATCGTAGGAATCTGACGTTGGCGTTGCTGAGAACGGGTCCCCCTCCTCCGCCTCGTCTCTTTCCTACGCTTCCGATCTCGTCGTAGAACGGGCTAGCTCGCTCGTTCGTACAATTCGTGCTAGATCCGTTCAGAACGAGCATCCCTCCTCTCGCTCTCTCTTTTTTCAGGGATACGCGCGCACACACACACTAACCGTGACGACAACGTACGTGCAATTTGATCGTTATCTCCTCGCCGCGAAAGTCGATCAACCGATCTTTCTGATCCACGACTCGCACCGTGATATCAATGACGTTTCGCGCGACGATCGGGAGGTAAATGATCTGCGTTGGAGTCTCCGACAGTTTATATCCCGGTGGAACTTTCGGCGCGAATTCGTGTATTGCGTGCACCGAGCGTCCGTTGCTGTACGCTCCCGCGGTGATACTGCACTCGATGCGAATTATGTTCACGCTCATGACGTCAACGGGTCCGTCGGAAACGTACCATTTGTTCGGTTTTAGGATACGGTCGCTCGAGAAACCCAAAAGAGAACCGATGTTGTTCGGTTTTGTAAAATTCACTCGGTAGGCGCACTTTATCTCGCTTCTCATGATATTCTCGTTGGCGCGAAGATCGAGCACTCTGTCGCCACCGTCGTCGTCCCCGTATATGTCATAACCGTCGCCATCGTTGTCATCGTCGTCTTCGTCCACGTATGCGCAATAAATCTCGTCGTCGGTTTCGTCCTTTTCCGTTCGGTTTTTTTCTTTTACCCGTCCAGCGTCGTCGGTCCGCGATTTTCCTCCTTTCTCCTTAATTTTGTCTCTTTTGCGGGCGCGACGTTCGCGATGGAGAAGAGCGGCGCGCAGATATCTGCTCACGGCTCGCAGCTCGTACGAACCTTCCGGAACGACGATTCGCCGGTCGTCCTCGCCGTAGTAGAAGCGATTATTTGCGGACGTAACGTTCGGTATCGAATTGTACGTCTCAAAAGTTGCCAAACCCAGCTCGTATTCGCCGTCGCTCAGATCCAAAGCGGGAAAGTGACTCGCCGTGAGAACGCTGCCGGTCTCGGTCAACGTGAGCGTCAGCGACATCGCGGAAGAACGTCGATCGTCCGCCCGCTCCCCCCCAATCGATCTCGCGAAAAAATCGCAGGCACAGTTGTCCGCAGATTCTCTGATGGAATGTCTGGAACGCGCGACGATTGTACGTCACGATCGTGCTCTCGCCGCCACTGTCGCCGAGATACCGCGCGAGATCCCTCGGCGGGCGGAGATTTCCAAACGCGTCGAAGTAGATCGCCGAGTTCCCTTTTTTCGCGTAAGCGACCCAATGCGTGTCCGGGCCCACTGCGTCGTCGAGATTCACGATGCCGCACTCCGCGCGTCGCACCCTCGTCGGCAGAGCGTCGCGCATAAACATCCCGCGGAAGAAGGGCACGCGCAGGCGACGCGCCGCTCGATCGAGCTGTTCGTCGGTCGTGACGCCGTACGGAGGTAGACGCGCTAACCTCGCTTTTTTACGCGAGGTTTTTTTTTTCGCCGACTCTCCTCGCGCCACCGCGCTTTTTATACGGCGCGAGGTACAACCCGCGACCCTCCATTGCGCGATTGTGTCGCTGCAATTCGTCGAACTGTTTTTGCGCCGCTTTGTTGGCGCTCACCGCTTTGGCCACGGTGGTTGCGCCACCGATCAAGGAACCGAGAGCGCCCAACATCGGTAGAAAGGGCAAGAAGCCACCGCGTTTCGCCGTCGGAAGTATCCTCCGCTTCTTTCTTCTCGTCTTCGCGCTTCTCCTTAATCCCGTTCCTTTTCTCGTTTTCCTTTTGCGTTCCATACCCATGCCCAGCTTCGTCTTCGTCTTCATAGCCGCCCATACGGCCGCCGCGGCGAGTCTCTCACCGGCCGTGGAATCCTTCGCGGTGACGCGCTCGCGCGCCCTCTCGGCGAGCCGTCGATCGGCGACGTGTCGCTCGGCGAGCTCGCCGCTTCGCGAATACGCGATGTCGTGCTCCCGACACGCCGCGTCCAATGGATTGATGCCTTCTTCGCCGCGCGCTAGTCTCTTCGCTAGACGCGTACCGGGCCCGCAGAACTGATAACCGGGTATGTGCAGTTCGAAGGAAAGAGCGTTTATCGCGCGATTGAGCAGACCGGTGCCGCGCATTCGGTCGCAGTTGCGCGAGGAGCATTCGCTTCTTCTTAGTTCGAACGGGAAATCGAAGATACACCGTTCACAGGGCGAAAGCGATTGCACTCGTGGCAGTCCTTGATGAGCGGCGGCGGACCGTCTATGTGCGTTCGCTGCCACGGACGATTGTAGTGTCGCATGCACGGGCGATATCTTTGCACCTCGGGATCCGCTTGTATATGTTCCGGCAAACGGTCCCACAACAGATGCACGTATCTCCCAAATTGACGCAACAGAAGGACCTCCGGAATGTATTGCAACTCTTCCACCGTTAGATTGAGAATTTCGTAACCGTCCACCAGTATGGGAAACACACTACTGTGAGACATCTCACCGATGCGCGCGAACGATTCGTTGATTTTAGAAAATAAATTTTTTTTCTACGGATACGGCAACACGCTCGCGCTACTTATACCCGCGCGCGAGGCGTTTGCGCACGCGCGACGAAACGAAACGACGTCCGCGCTTCCCCCTCTTTTTTCCAGCGATCGAGAGACTCATCGCGAACGAACCGAGCGGAAAAACTCGAGGGAGAAAGAGAGAGAAGGCAAACATGCGATTCGTGCGACAGACGGCGACGTTAGAAGTCTCGAATCTGGATCGCAAAACGTCGGCGGGGTCGGCCGCGACCAGGAGAGAAAACGGAGAATCGCGCCGGCACGGTCCTCTCCTTCCGAACGTCGTCCGTTGCATCATTTGCGGTCCCTCCAATTGCGGTAAGACGAACGTTCTGCTGAGCCTGCTGGAACAACCGCACGGTCTCCGTTTCGAGAACGTATACGTGTACTCGAAATCTCTGCAACAACCGAAGTATCGATATCTCGAACGATTGTTCGAGCCTATAGACGAGATCGGCTATCACGCGTTTTCCGACAATCGAGACGTCGTTCCGCCCGACGAGGCGCTTCCCGACTCGGTTTTCATCTTCGACGACGTGGCCTGCGACAAGCAAGACAGAATGAGGGAGTACTTTTCTATGGGTCGACATTCGAATATCGATTGCTTCTATCTCTGTCAGACGTACGCCAAGATACCGAAACATCTCGTGCGCGACAACGCAAATCTGCTGATCCTGTTCAGGCAGGACGGCACCAATCTGCGACACGTGTACGACGATCACGTGAACATCGACATGTCGTACGACGAATTTCGCGCCTTCTGTCGCGAGTGTTGGCGGCGCACCTACGGTTTCGCCGTGATAGACAAAGACAGCGCGTTGCGAGGCGGACGGTACAGACGGGGCTTCCACGATTTCGCCGTGCTGTAGGGTCGATCAGTGCGCCTCGTCGCGAGTATGAGCGCGATCGCGGAGGAGAGAACCGCGCGAGAAATAGCCAAGACGCGCGCCTCGATTCGCAGAAAATACGCCGCTCTCAGGGCCGGGAAAATGGAGAGCGAAATCGCTCTGGAAAAGAGGTACGAGCCTATCGTCAAACCTCTGAAACGGCTCGCCGATGACGTGAAACGCAGAGGTAAAGGACCGGGCAAGATCGACGACGACGACGGCGCTGGCTTTGCGTTCCCGAAAAAGATGAAAGCGATGAAGAGAGCGAAGAAAAACAGCGAGAACGGCGACGACGACGACGACGCTGGCGCCGACCTGGAGCGCGATTACTGGGAGGACGACGACGTATTCGCGCCAATCGGGACAACCGCGACGGCGAAAAAAAGAGAGTCGCGTCCGGCACGGCTGAGTTCGGCTCCCGCGACGACGACGACCGCGATGAGCTCCACGCCGATCCGCGACGATTTGGTCCAGTTTTTACCCAGAGAACGCGAGATCGTATCGGAGACGACGACTCCGCCTCCCACGTTGGAGACGTCCGCCGGGAAATCTTTGAGACGGCGGAAAGTCGCGACGTTCTGACTAGCAAACTAGGACCGTTGGGGCGGGAATACTTGGGCGCTCTTCTGGGCGGCGACAAAAACAAGGAGTTGGACACCGTTTACGGAGTGCATTTCGGCGAAAAAGGCGCGATGCTGGGAAACAAGCGATTCAAACTGAAACCGGATGACACCATGGTCATCGACGGTGTACCGTACAAAGGCACGCGCGGCCTGTACGAGTTGATTTTCATGGGAAAATCCGACCTTAAAATCTACACGGAGAAGGACAAATTAACGTACAGGAGCATATTTTTTTCCACCAGCGCTCACAAACGCGGCGGTAAAGCCGAAAATCCCGTCAAGGGCAACAAGGGACCGAAGTACAAAAATATAATAGCGCCGCTCGTAAACCTGTCTCTCAGAGTTGGAACTACGAAGGGTGCCGGGCTACCGTCGGCCATGCGACTGACCGACAACGCTATCGATTACGTTCACTGGGACGATCCCAACGAGCTGGTCGATAGACTTCGACTGCTGGACGCCTCTCGTCGGGCCGGCAACGATGCTCACGACAACGAAATCCTGTCGATAATCGAGGAACTTCGCGAGGCCGGCTTCGTTATAAATTGATCGGTCGCGTCGGTCGCGACGTCAGTGCGAGTCGCGCGCCCGCCAGCGCGATGTCCGTGAACAAATTCGGCATGTCTCTGACGAATCGGGGCAGCGGCGACGGAGTCCGCACGAGGTTGAAATCATCGCGATCAAGACCGTTTTGAAGATTATCAAACAAAATGAGCGTGGAAAAACGTAGACTCGTCGAAGAATTGCACGCGCCGGCGCGAAAAAGTTTTCCTCGCCGCCGCGTCGTGGTGCGCGGTTACGACGACCTGTGGCAGGCCGACGTGGTCGAGATGCGCCCGCGAACGCGGGCC